AGAGAGAGAGAGAACATCCCCGACGTCTTTTGAGAGTAGGTGATAAAATAGAATTTCATACAGCAAACATTTTAAATCGGATGTAAACTATACGGGCCGCTTTAATCACAAGGACTCATGAGATGTCTTTTTCATACATTAGCCTATACAAATATCTGTCTCGTGGATTTCCACCAGCAGAATGCTGCTCAGCACGTACAATGCCATGGTCACAAGCCGGAAGCAACGGGAGAGATGGACAAGGGTGTGGGGTCTCCATGAAATAAGGTATAAGTTTCCCCAGGTTTATATCCCCTATAATGCACAGTGCCTGATCTGCATTAGTGATCTCTAGAGCCCCAATTGCGCTAACGGCTGGGTTTGCAGATCAAGACCTCACAGCTCGCGCCCCTTCGAGCCCTGGTACCTGACCGACATCATCCAGCGATTGCCTCATGTAGGTGGCTGAGAAACTACACTTGCCCAGCTTTTGCTCCCTAGAGGCTCAGATCTGAAGAAGACGCTGTATATTTGGAAGTATAGGCGTGGTCTACGGGCCTAATGAGCAGCGCTCAGAGCAACGCGCCTGGGTGCCGTACAGAAATCGACGCAACCACCACTCCGGCTGCGACAGGCATGCCTCTTGTTACACGCGCAATCTCTCGCGGAAACCGAGGCAGCGCGAGAGCATCACGCGACTTTCGAAATAAAACGTGCACAGAATGTGGCCAAGCTTTCTCCAAGACAGAACACCTCGTTCGTCATATCCGGTCCCATACAAAAGAGAAGCCATTTACGTGTCATGTGTGCAGGAAAAGCTATAGTCGACAGTATAGTCTCACACCACGCTCCCCATGCTATATTGAGCTTACCAAGATGAGTTTTCAGTGACTCGCTTCTCCGGCACTCCCGCGCTCACTCACGCGGCGCCGATGACTCCACTGTCGCGTTGTCCTCTCCAGCAGGACGCCATTCTGACTGCCAGCCCAGCAGCAATGCCACCACCCAGTTGGTTAGGCAAGATAATTGCATGACGTTCACGCCGCTGCAAAATGCTGGCAATGCCGCATCATCCAGGCCTACAGAATCCGAGACGACGGCAGGTCCATCACAGGATGAATCGATCTGCCCCTCGCAAGATGCCTACTCAGCCGTCGCCTCGGTCCTTCCCACAATCCCACTCGGACCGCCAGGAGCGGGCTTTGATCCTGCCGGCGCCGAAGGTTTACACAATACCGCTAACATGAACCACAATCGAGACAGCCTTGAGCACTGTGAGCCGATCTGGCCTTCGTGGGCCGATTTCGATGTGGACGCCTTGAACTTCTCGATATCCGCTGCAATATCTGAATGGGGTCTTGCTCCCGAGGTTTCACCCGATGCCCCAGGGATAGACATTGCCACCGATGGATTTGGCCGCTCCCGAGATACCTCTCTAGGGCCCAGAGAACTCCTATCTGCGGTACAAGCCAATTGGCATACCCGAGTGATTGCAGACTCACCCACACTAAGCTCAGACGCTTCGGTCCATGTCGAAGCCAGTGTGAACGATGCATATCGAGAAGGGTTGACACAGAGGTTACATCCTTCTGTGCACAAGACCGTACTCCCTTCAGCTGCATTCTTGGTGAGTGAGGACATTCGATATATATCTAACTCTCATTACCCCATCTATCAAGAAAATGAAATTTTAATTCCTCCATAGAACCTTTGCGTCAAATTGTATTTTACGAAATTTCATCCTGTTCTCCCCTTGGTGCACGCTCCGACCTTTCAACCGTCTTCAGAGAACGCCCTCCTGCTTTTGTCCATTTGTTCCATCGGCGCCCTCTTTATAGGTTCACCTAGTGCGTCGGCCCAAGGTCGCAAGATTTTCCAGATTCTTAACAAGGCAGTCTTGGCAACTGTGAGTCTTCTCTAGTCTCCAATCTCTAACCCATTCTCACTGTTTTTCTGGCACTTGGTAGCTTCGTACTTATAACTATGATAGTGGGAGAACTACGTTGGCTACGATGGCCGAGAAACCCTGGCACTAACACAGGCAGCCATTATTGGACAAACCTTTCCGATGCTCTCCGGGTACCCTCAAGATCTGTACATGACCGAGTGCTTCTCGGGCACGGTCATGGCATGGGCACGCCAAGCGGGATTTTTTAATGTCAAGGATACTTTGCCGATGGTTCAAAAACTAGACAGCCTTGATATTGAGGAGGCCTGGAAAGACTGGGCTCGGAAAGAGGAAAAGGCTCGTTTGATTCTCGGATTATATATCCACGATTCCGAGTTTGCTACAATTTTCCACCATGAACCTCTACTACGACACCACCCCGGTCGATTGCCCAAATGTGCTTCCGAAGAGCTGTTCTCAGCTACAACCGCAACACAGTGGTATGCTATTCTCAGAAGAAATCAAACAACAGATGAGACGGCCCATGCGTATGCGCCTTTACAGGTGGCCGCACATCAGTCCGAGATGCATACCTATGCATCACTCGCTGGCATTATAGCCTCGATACAGGAAACCAGAGCTTGTACCCAGGATTTCACAAATGCTGCGCCTTTTCGGGACTCGCTTCTTGGATGGTATCATGAATCCTTCAAATCATTACCAGAACACAACTTGGCCAACCTCATGATCCTTTGGCATACTGGATTCTTAACCTTGTACTCCGAACTCGATACTCTTGAGCGCGCTGTTGGCCGTAACGGAGAATCCAGCGCGGCACAAGTCTCGGACATTGTCCACGAATGGGCAACATCCGTGGAAGCAAGGCGAAGCGTCTTGCACGCTCATTTCATTGTCACCATTGCCGAAAACTTGCCGCTCGGCCTAGAGCCTGCTATCCATGTCCCCAAGGCTTTGTTTTACTCGGCACTTGCAACCACCTGTTTTTTGAAGTTTGGTCCAAACAGGGAACCTCTCATTTTCATGCAGGAAATGGATATGCCAGAGTTCCAATGTCCCACCACTGTGAATACAGTCGATTCTAGTGGCGCCAAAGGGCGTGTCAATCGGATTCCTCCGATTGATTCAAGTTTATTATGCAGGGCGGTGGACTTGTTGCGGCGTATCGGCCACTGGGAGATCTCACGAAGGTTTTATTCCGTGTTGAACCCTTTACTTCAAGAGTTGGTGAAATGATGTCCTGCTCTCGCCTGGTATGCGCATGTTTAGGTGATGTGACCAGTAGGATAAATTACCCTTGGCTTTCATCAAGTATTTACCTGTACACAGATTTGAGTGTCAAGGGTAATGGAGCATCAATAAGCATTCTAAACAAATCTGAAAGAAACCCATACACATTGATTTTCACAACACAAAAGAGTCGAGGACGACTTCTGATACAAGCTGTAGGTCAAACAAGAAAAAACTCTCTATTTGGGTTTCATGGGTCAATATCGTTCATTTCCTTTCAGCATTTTTCGATTATGATGAGTTTGACAAAGCTTGACCAAACAAAGAAGTTACACAATTTCATTGTAATCATTACCACACATGGGATATTGTGTCGAACAATACTTTGTCATGATAAACAGAGTTGTGAGGAACAGCAAATCTAGGTGCATATATAAACCTAGGTTGTTGATGCCCGAACTCTAATCAATTCTACCATCATCAGCAATACCTTTCTCCGACAGATCGATTCATACACTACAAAACAACTCTACTTTCAAGCATAACAATTTGACATTTTGTCACCACCACAAGAAAGAACAACAAATTGAGCTCTAGTATCATTCGATTCTTGTCCGGCTACAAGAAGATTCAATACTGAGCATCAATTTCATTCTTCAAATCTTCTTTGAAACTAAATCAACATCGAAATCATCATGTCTGCCTCTACTTTTAACGCCCCCATCACCACTCCTAGCAAGATGTCGTGGAGCGACATTGTCGAAATGGAGTATGAGGAGATGTCTTCTTCAAACATTCCCACCACCACCACCTCTGGCGCTCCCTCAGTGAGCACCGAGAGCACCACTCCTTCTCTCAAGGAAGCCAACTCTACCGTCAACACTCCCAGCAAGCCCTCGTGGAGCGATATTGTCCAGAAGGAAGATAAGAAGGTGTCTACTCCAAGCCCTGCTTCAACCACTGCCGTCTCCAACACTCCTTCGATGAGCACCACTCCTGCTCTCAAGGAAGCAGCCCAGGGCCTGGCACATGACCTAAGCGTTTGTCCTTGTGCCAAAGACCAAGTCTTCCAGAGCAGCAGCAGCAGCAGCAGCAGCCGCCGCCGCGGCGCCAACACGGTGATTGGCAACGCAGCGGGCGTAAGCTATCGCTACTGCAACGAGTGCAACGTCTACGGCCACGCGCAGCGCGACTGCGCCGTCCGCGCCGCCCGCATCACCAAGGAGCGCGCCGACTACGCGGCCTACAAGGCGCGCCGGGCCGCGTACGAGGCCCGCCTGGCCGCTACCGACTGTCGGCGCTGTGGTGAGCTGGGGCACTTGGCGCGCGACTGTACGGCCACTGTGGCGGCGCCTCCTCCTGCCCAGAACGTGGGCAAGAGCAACAGCCAGAGGAAGCAAAAGGGAGGTAAGAACAACAGCAACAAGGGGGACGTGCTTGTTGGTGCTAACGGCAAGCGATACCAGCTCCAGCAGGGCGGTATTGTTGCCCCGGTCAGGGGACGCAGGGCTTAGATGATATGACCTTGTTAGATAGATGGGATTTGTATAGTGGCTTTCGTGAATTGCATAATCAATTCTGCTTGGAAGCTGAGTTGCGCGAGCGCATGATAGAGTCTTGAATATACATGATATCCCTAAACATCTTTGTTTGTCAGTGCCATGGATCAACGTGAAATGATGTACAAATTCAACAGCAAAAACAGTACAAAAATTGACACCTGAAGCAAATTAAGCATAAACGTCTTTTGCGTAAGCAGGCAAATGCTTTTCCTATATGGGCACTTGCGTGCACAAGAGTTTGGGGCCAATCAAGGTAAAATCCATTATGCATTGTAGCGATGTCTTTGTCTAACCATGCCGTATTTTCTTTTCCTCGAGCTGAGAAGCGATGCCGAACCAATACATGCTAAACGCCGGGTAATGCAATGTCATCTCATCATGATTCATTATGTCATACAGGACAAGTTATACTATATAACTCGTACACATTCATGTGGTTGGTGAACAAGACCATTCATAGACTGTAAGACGAAACATAGTACTAGAACATTTTAGCAGATATTCAAAACAATAAAGAAATGTGCAAAAAGGAGCAACTTACTGTCACAACACTATCTTCGGCCCCAACGTCGTCGTACTGAGGTACGTAGACGTACAGAATCAGAGCGTGCTCGTCGGCAAAACAGGCAATGACTCTTCCCTCAAGACGGCCTACGCTGAGCACCTTGCTCCAATCCTTGCCGTCGACTCGTACGGTCGCCCACTTGTCCGGACCTTCTTCTCGGAACTTGGTGGACGGGTGTTCATCAATGGGGCACTGCAGCTGGCTAGGATCTAGCAGCGGATTTTCGAGATTATCCCACTGGCTTGCAATGTCGAGGGTCTCGGCATGGAGACTCAAGCGGAGCGAGCCGTGCATGTTGGCTGCAATCTCAAGCTTGGGCGAGTACGCCATGCTATTGCCGCTGCCGCCAGAATTTCCGCCGCCCGCCCTGGCCGCCAGCGCAAGCTTGGTGAAGCGGTCCGACACGGCCTTGAGGGACAAGAGGGCCGGCAGCTGGATGTGTACGTCGGGCTCGCGCACCTTGGGCTGCATAATGGTCTCGACGTGCTCTGGGTGCAGCACGCGCACAGGTATATCCTGGGTAACAATCTTTTCGCGCTCGCGATTCAAGTGCGTTTCGAGAGGTTCAACGTTGAAGACGCCATCATCGTCGTCGCCGTCAGCTCCGCCAAAGAGGCGCTCCGCCTCGTCCAAGTCGTTGTGATTGCGTCTGCTCCTGCTGGCTCCGCCCGTGGGCCCGAACCGCGACGGTGCGCCCGAGGCATTGCCGTTGGATGTCGACGTTGTAATGGTCATGGATAGGAGGGGGATGCCGTCCTTTTTGGTGAGACGCAAGCTGGCAGACGTGCCATTGACGGCAGATTTGAGGGCGCGCTGGAGTGGGCCCAAGGGTAGCTCAAGATTGATTGTGTTGGACGGCTCAGCGGACTGAAGTTGGTACGAGTCGAAAATATGGTCCATCGAGAGCGAGCTGGAAACAATGCCAAAAACACCATGGTCAGGTCCTCTGAGAGCAATTCCTACTGGTGTTTGGGGCTCTTTAGGGGAAAGGTCATGCGACGTACGCCCATACTTGTGAACCCTGGTCTGGTATCACGGTGAAGCGCACCGTATCGTCGTCCAGGCGCATCCACGCGATCTTTTCGAGCGACGACAGAGCCGCCGTAAGCTCTACATGCTACTGTCAGGGGGCGATATGGACCGAGGAAACCAAGAATCTGACTTACTTGAGAATGTTCGCACATTCTTCAATTCCGTCTTGAACCTCATGGCCGGCTTTGGTGGTGGTTCTGGGGCCTCACGAGACGCGGGTTGATCAAGACGCGACTTTTTCTTTTTCAATCTATAAAGGCGGGACAGATGCCTACGTCAGGTTGAATGTCGCCGGTACGCCACAAGTGTAAAAATAGCGTAATGTTAGTACTGTGAAGGTAGCTTCCAGCTCCCGCTATGAGAAAAAGTCCAGGCCTTTGCGGGGTACCTAAAAGAGTGGATGCTTCTGGGATTGGGGGTCTGCTAGCTCAGTATGATCCTTGTTGAACTTGCTTCCAAGTGACTATACTCGCTTTTTGGGAGTTGAACACAGTAGGGATGTAATGATTGCCAAATATAGATACACTATCTACGCTACTTCAGTCCTTCATGAGAGGGTCACATAAGTGTAAGGACATTAACCTTAGGGGAATATGAATGTCATTCAGTATATGCCAAGTAGTAATGTACGGAATCAGGTAGTAATTGCATAATATTCAATGTCGCGATGCTGTATATTCACAATAGTTGTCACAGTGATTACAATCAATGAATTTGTTGCTTGAAAATTTGTCAAATTCTTAGCCAAATGGCGTCTCACATCAAAATAAGTGGTATAATATGCAGCGTAGTCATGAGGAAACCGTGAAATCCAGATCATGTAGCAGAGACCAGTCCTCCTCAAAATTAAATCCAAACCGTATACGCCAGAGCCGGAACACCTCTAAACTCCGCCATCAAATCAGAACATTTCCTGTCATTGCGCCCCATGTATTCCTGGTCTGTGTCACAACTTAAAAGACAGAACTTATCCGCCGACTGCCCAGGGTCATCTCGCCGACTGGAGCGGGAGTGGGAAGACGCGGTGCCGAGGTATTGCAGACCATGCTGCGTCCTCGGTCTTGTCTATCCGGGCGCGAACTCGATGACTCGCCATTCGATCTTCGTATGTTTCGTCGCAGGTTGAGTAGTCCGCTCTTTCTTGATATGACGGCAGCAACCTCTACGTCTTCGCTGTCCTGGCGCGCATGGCCCGTCTCTATTGCGCTGAGAATCCGCTTTTCCTGCTCTCTCTTCTTTGAGATCTCGGCGCACATGGTGCACTCTCCGACTGTGTCGGCCATCCGGCGCGGTGGCGTGTACGATGGTCTGTTGGGATGGCCTTCCCGTCGCTGAAGCCGATTGCGCCGATGCCCTGGGCTTGGGTGTCCGCCTCCTAGAGCAGCCGCCAACTGCAGGGCCTGTTGGTACTGCTGCCACGCATGCCAGGCCATATCTATTGTCGGTGGCTTGCAAACCGGATGCCCGCAATTTGGATGTTTGGCCACGCTGCGGCAGATTGGACATGTTGGATCCGGGTTGGTCGGATCTTCGCGATCAAGAGAGTCCTGGAGCCAGGTCTGGAGGCAAACGTCACCGAATTTGTGGCCGCAGTCGAGGGAGTTCCAGGACTCAATGGTGCCTTCAGGATTAGGAGCGCCGACAGGATCATGGCAAATGGGGCATTCTTCTAGTTGGTGTAAGTCCACTGGTAATGTATGGGGAGCCTTCTCCGACACGGTCTCAGCTGTACCTTCTTCCGGGCAACTACCAGATGAGGCGCGATCGATTCGCCATCGCTTTAGAGTGGGTGCGAGCTTGTCAACAAGCTTGAGAGGAAGCCGTACAGGCAGAGTGACCAGTTTGCGAACTCGCATGGTCGCGATCTTGCGTTTCTTCCCACGCAAAGGCAGCAGGAAGAAAACCGTAGCGACAACACTCCTAATGACAAGGACGAGGTAGATCGGCCACAGAAAGATACGGAGGGGAAGCGCCGGCATCAACTGGCGCAGCAACTGCTGCTGTTTGTTCGCATCCGTTTGTTTTCCTTGGAGCCTTTGGTTTTGGAACTACCAGCAATCAAGTACACCGACTTTGAGAGCTTGGATGGATGTATTGGATGATTTTGGCCTGTGACAATGAGGACCGTGAGCAGGACGGGCCGGGGGTGGCCCCTCGTGATAGAGCCTAGTCGTTTCCGGTGGTGTAGTGACTCTCCAGACCAGACCAGAGATGGAGGGGTAGCACCTAGCTTAGGTGGACTGCAGGGTGGGTAGGTGTAGAGCTCCACGGACTGCCCAGTTTGCCTAGATAGGTAGGGAAGGGAAAGCGGGTTGTCCGATGATCCAGTTGTTTGTCGAGTCACGAGAGGATGCCAGAAATAATCCCGTGTTTGCTGGTTGTCGCTCTGATTCAGAGAAGAAAAGGGAAGGAGAAAAAGAAAAAGATGGAGTTTGCCTGCCAGGAACTCGGGCGGTTGAAAGTTTGGGAGAATGAGCTCATCAGTAATGTGAATTGCGGGTTGGTTTGTAGGGCGATTCGAAGAGGAATTCCCCTCACGATGCAGGTGACAACCTTAGGCTGGACAGATGTTGCTCATGAATCGAGCAGCCCAGCTATTGGTTCGTGGGGCAGAGCATTCGGCTTCTTCCTTGCTCGGCTCTTGTCGCCAGGTCACGATGGGGCACAGAGAAAATCACATTCAGGAATGAACACTCTAGCCAGATGCAGCCTCGTCGGCGGAATCGAAAGGCTCGACCCTTGGGTAACAAGGACGGACGAGAGTCTGTTCCTGAAAGGGGTGACAAGGTCCAGAGCTATTCATGTCTCGAACTGACACAATTGGCCGTGATCGCGTGGGAAACTTGTTAAGCCGACACACGGACAGCCCAAGCCAGAGACATTTTTGGCTCTTTGGGCGTCGGCGCCAACTATTTAGTAGAGCTGACATTTTCATGTTCGGCGTAATGGAGGGGGTAACAGAAATGTTCTACGTGCTTGCTGGGCTAGAATGCTGACGCCGCCAACGCCATCAGCCATCAGCGCATCCTTGCATTGCAGGACACCTTATCTCTCTTGCTCATGTGAACTAGTCCAGTGCTTCTGCATAAGAGCACGAGAACACATGCGCTATCAAGAACCTTGTCGGTCCTGACGAAGGACTTGGTAGTAGAATTATCGATTGTCGGCTACGTATCCTTGGCCTGTGTCGACTATTGTAGCCGTAAATGTAGACAGCTATAGAAGTGTCATAATTCTATAGACCTACAGGCGGTACATAAGGCATTCGTAGTACGCCCCGGAGCTGCCTCGAGATGCTCATGCCAAGATACCCGAAAACCAAACCACAGTCTACGCGCTGCCTGGATTTGGCTGTAGCTTTGAGCCAACCTATTGAAGCACGACAATGCTATGACTGGGTAAAACTTCAGTATTGCCTCAATATCCAAAAATTACTGGTCAAGTGCCATTATCAGAAACTCAAGTCAAAACGTCCCGGAGAGCATCAAGAAGCAACCGAAACTTGTCGGCGAATAATAGCACTGCCCTCACTGTTTATGCCCCGAAGATCTAACGCCGCTCTCAACATGGGGGAGTTGTCCAACAAACCACCATTGGGCACTTGAAAATGTCATTTGTGCAAATTCTTGGCCCGTAACTTTGCCGGGCAGATCTGTGAACGCATATCCAGTGCGACTACGATCCCCATTGCTGCAGAAGGGAGGTCATCAGGCATCAACGATGGAATACTTGACTGTGCTGGTGGATGGTTGATGTAGCACATTCATATAGTACCGGGTGGCACGGAGCCGTAGCATTCGTAGAGGTCGTAGAGCTGATTGTCCTTTGCGTGCCGCGCGTAGAGGTTCCAGCGAGGTATTGCGGCGTCGTCACTTTTGCCATGATGTCGAGTGCATACGCTGTGGTCTACCGATTCCCCCGCCGGTTCTCAGCCTCGTCGTCGCTATCGTCCATGAATCCTTCTTCCAAGCTTTCGTGATATCAGTAAAGTGCCATTTACAGCGTGACTCAACTTACTCTCTGCTCAACCTCCTATTACTGTCGGTATGATCTACACGACCGCTTGTATCCAGACTGAGCGCGTGCCTACGGTCTTCTTCCACGTCTTCTAGCTCCTCGCCATCGTCAGAGTCAAAGCCAGCATCAGAGCCTCCTGCCGCGACAAGGCGTTCCCGTATGCCTATCCGCCACCTTGCTGGAATCAGCCATTTTGCGATTGCATTCTGCACCCTGACCCGGAACGACGATGTATGATTCGATATCGACTCTAGTGGTAAATATTGACTGTAACGCTGTTGGTATTGTCGCCAGAGTGGAACGAGAATGTAAGAACAGGTAATGAATAGAATTAGCGAAATAACGGCAGGGACTATAAGGGTCTATGTGGACGACAAGTTAGCTGCCTGATGGTGCTCTCGGCGCAACAGCCGGGTGTTGGCTGCGATGTGACGGACCTTGACAGCAGATAAAGTAGACCCCATATTGTCTAACCCGCCATTCGCAAATAACCTGATGCTGCGATTCTTCGAACTCGGGGTAAATATTTTAAAAACTTGATGATGGCGCCAGCTCGCAAGTTATTACGATTATGGCTGACGGCCAAGTAAGCGTGCGTACACGTAAGTAAAAGCAGAAGCCACAAATCGGACGTTGCTTGGTCTGCGCGAATGGGGAATCCCGAGTCGCTGCAATTTCCGAGGCGCCGAATTGGCAGCACAGCTGGGCGCAAAAGTTGTCGCTGTCTAGACAAGGCCAACTGTGGAAATCAAGACAGCCGGGCACAAGCTTTGCGCAGTCTCCAGCATGGAGGTGATGGCAGACTGATTACCAAACAGAAGAAGAGTTTCCAGATGTCTCTCTGCTCAGCTGGCGCAGCTCCTGACTGTACCACTAGCGCCGCGTCATTGGCACTCTTAGGCCCTCCCAGACGGCGCCGCCCGCATCCGCAGTTTGAATACTCCGGACTCCATATGCAGGTCAAAATAATTGGGCCATGGTGAACGCGTGCGCATCGACAGCCAACGGTTCCTGGGCATTAATTCTCCTAGCGAAATGGCTAAGAGAGGTCGATGGAGAATACGAAGATGATAAAAAGGGGTTCGGCACGGGCAGATTGTGGAGCAGGCAGTGTTCTTCGTCATCTGAAAGCGAAATCATTGACTTCCTTCCACAAACTAGGGAAGCTAGGTACTGTGTGGTAGTAGTAGCTTGCATGAATAAAATGACTGCGCAAATGTGCCGGCCCAGGTAGAATGACCCGTTTGCACATTATCTAATGTACCGAAGCATTGGCCCAAAGATGATGAGCTTCTTCCACGATCCGGAAAACACCATCGATCGTCTGTCAAGATGATCGTACTATGTACGGCTACGACTATGGATGCCAGCACTGACAGCCACGGTCCACTAATGTAGGCTTCCCAGCAGCAAGCTTCCCCGGCTTCTGCTCAGACCATCAAGTGTTCTGCCCCTACATTAGGTACGGCCCACCCAAGCCGGGGAGAAGCGCTGTCAGGCTGAAGAACAAGTCTGCAAACAGACATTGATGCTTCCATCCAGGTATCGAGCTAGCCATTTGATTTCGGTATCAGTAAAAAGAAAACACCATGTATGAGCCAAACGCTGGTGGACATGATTATGGTCAGTCCGGGCACGTTTCTTTAAATGTGTCAAATGTGCATCCAGGGGTTTCCAGATGGAGTTTCAACCGATGATTTCGCCAAGTCTCTATCTCGGCAGAAATGGACATGGCTGTAGTGGTACTTAACCTTGGCATGATGCAGTGACTTGGTGCTCGATCAATAAAGGGAAGCCGAACAAAGGACAGGAGAAACCATATACGTCGGGTTGCCACGAATCCGTAAGCGTTTGCTCAAGCTAGTTGCCAACATGGTATATTGAGGAGTGAGAGTTTTTGTGTTCTCGGGGGTTTATATTAGACCAAAGATTTACATACTATTCAAATAGAAGTCAGGGTAGCCGGAGGAAGGGCAGCCAATAGCTGGGCAGGTGATGGATTTCGGCGAACTGTCTAAACATAGGCAATTGCATTAGGCTTTTCCAACAACCAGTCATGGCTCCCAAAACGTCGGTGGAGCCCCTGAGCTCAATCCGCTTTGGGCTTGAATTTGTACGGAATAGCGCTTGTGTCGGGCATCTGACCGTAACAATAATCTCGGGAAGGGTTCGTGGTTTTGTTTGTTTTCCAACAGGAGTTTCCTGTCATTAATTTATTCCTCGTTAATATTCCGGCAATAAGGACTCAAGGAAGGGGGAACAGCTTGAACCTTGTTGTTTGTTAACTTTTGTGTGTTGCATTGCCTACTGAAACTTTGCTTTGTCATTGGCGAGATCAATCTCTCTACCAAAACTTCCAAGTACCCACACTAGCAGTATACCCATCTTCTGCTCGACTGGGGGGCGATTGCCTCCGTTCCTGCAGTTTCCGCTGCAACCAACATTGAACAACATACGTACTGTGTGCACCTTGAGCAACCACACCAGCAAGCACCAGCATTCTTCTCCTTCCGGCGCCCAAAGCCCACTGAGAGGATCTCGGCCTGCGTACCTGTATTCGGAATATTATGACTTCTCTGTAGGTCTGTCTGTCCGAGTGTCCCCTTTCCTCGCTCATTGTCCGCCATGCCCTCGTCTGATTACAACATCTTTCTGCCCACTGTCAAGCCAGACGCACCATCAAGACGGATGTGTCAGTCCTATTAAAGGTTCGCGTGCTTCTGCGACGAGTGTCTCCATACTGTAAATGCGCCGCCACCACGCGGGAACCATCCATGAATCCCCCCAGACAAGCCAGTCCAAAAAGAACAAGAACCCCCCATGCTCAACGGATTTCGCTTCATGCAGGTCTCCCATCCACGGCTGATGCACGGCTCGCTAGAAGATACGGCACACTTTCGACCTCGATCTACTCGCCGCACCCGAACATACTACACATACATACACGATGCGATTAGCCCCAAAGCCTGGTGAAGCCTGACCCAGCAGATTGAAGAAGCTTCAACTAAAAAGTAGAACGAGGCACTGTACCTAGGTCGCCTAGATAGCGCGTGCCGCATCTCGATTTCCAATATCCACCGTGCTGGAGTCCAAGTCCAGTGCTGGGCTTGGTTGGACCCCCCTTTGCGGCAGCTACCGTATTGGACATTCTCTCGCCGCTCTCGCTAGCTCAATTCCAACCTGCAGTCCAAATCGAAACCCGGAAACTACTACTGTGCTGCTGCTACCGCCGCCGCCCACGCGACGACTCTCCGTCCTCACCACGACGGCCTCTCGTCGACCTCGACTTTCTCCTAGCAAAAGTTGTCCCCGTTGCCGAGACCACGTACTCGACGTCTGGGGAGACCACCACTGAAGTGTCGGCGTTTCTCGACGCCTGACATAAACTTTTCCTCTCTCCATCATGGCTTCCGGGTTCTTCTCGCGAAGCAAGCATAAGAGCAGCTCCAGCGACCGGCGCGACGACAATGACTCTGTATCCGTTCATTCCATACCTCGATCTCGGCATGGCAGGGAATCATCCATCATCTCGGTCGATCGTCCCAGCTCGTCCTCGTCAGAGTTCGCTGGTGGCTTGCCGTACGACGCCACGAACCGGGACGGACGCAACCCTGTAGCTGTCGATTATCTCCCTCGTCCTGACCAGATGCCTGTCCGACGAGATCCCCTCCCACACCAGATGAACAGAGCTACCGGTGATTATCAGCAATATCTCACAGCAGATGCCCATGGCTATGCACACATGTCTGCTGGCTCGCATCTCTCTGGGCCCCGGCCGCCACCAGGCACCTCGAATGTGACAATGGCATCGACCGGGCAGCGCAACACCCAATTTCAGCAATGGGGCCCATCCAACGGACAAACGCCCCGAGGCAGCACAATCAGTGGCGTGAGCACTCAGAATGGTCAATTTACCGAGAGGTCCGACTCGCTGGCCTATTCCAACTGGTCGGCGAGCCGACTTCACAGAGAAAGCGATCAATCCAGCGTATTTTCAGGTAATGGAGGACCCCTAGATTCTGCGACAACCCCACGCTCATCGAGACTACCAGCCCTACCCAGCGCGACTTCCCAGAGCTCATTCAATTCGAACCTGTCCGCGAGGGACTCGCATCGTTTGACAAAACTCCCAGGCCCCACGTATTCCCCAGATCGTGTGTCGAATGCGAATAGTGCCGGATCCGACGCAGACCGGCTAGCCAGACCCGCTGACGATCGAGTGACTGAACAAATGTTCTACGAGTTAATGCAGAAGCGAGGATGGCACAACTTGCCCGAGCAAGCCAAGCGTCAAATGGTTGCATACCCAACTGCGAAAAAATGGACGCTCATCTACCAGGATCGTTTGACCGAAATGCAGGGAGAACAAAAAAGGAGACAAGTAGCAAAAGTGAACAACCAATATTCGGCCGTCGATGTTGCCCCCATCTCCTCCTCCGATGAGGAAGGCTCCCCCGAGTGGTACGTTCGCAAAGTCATGGATAACAGTCTTGACACAAAAGGCCTGGGTAGTCTGGAAGTCAACCTGCGAACTCAACAGATTGGCTGGGTAAAGCGATTTATTGAGTGCCAGGGTCAGATAGCACTGACAACACTTCTCTTGAAAATCAATCGTAAAACCGCCGTAGGACCTGCGGCTCCATCCGACCACAAAACAAGCGAGAAGAATCTCGACAAGGAATACGATATAGTCAAATGTCTCAAGGCATTGCTTAACAACAAGTACGGTGCCGATGATGCGCTCGCCCACCAGCAGGTCATTGTGTCTTTGGCGACATCACTTATTTCACCTCGCTTAACCACAAGAAAACTCGTCAGCGATGTTCTCACCTTTTTGTGTCACTGGGAAGATGGCGATGGCCATATGAAGGTCATTCAGGCGATGGACGCCGTCAAGACCCAACAGAACGAGAATGGACGATTTGACGCATGGATGCGCCTTGTTGAGGTCACTGTCGATGGCCGAGGCAAGATGGGAAGTCTGGTCGGCGCCAGCGAAGAAGTCCGCAGTGGTGGAATCGGCATGGAGAACCTGCTCATGGAATACGCCGTCGCTACCCTCATCCTCATCAATATGATCGTTGATGCTCCAGAAAGGGATCTCACACTGAGGATGCATCTCCGGGCACAATTTGGTGCTTGTGGAATCAAGAGGATTCTCACCAAGATGGAGGCCTTCCAGTATGACCTGATTGACAAGCAGGTGGAGCGGTATCGTACCAATGAAGCTATTGACTACGAAGACGTGCTCGAACGGGAGGGCAGTAGTATGAAGGACAACATCGAGGGTGATGTCAAGGATCTCAATGATCCCGTTCAAATCGTCGATGCTATTCAACAACGAATCCTAGGCACAAAAACTCAGGACTACTTCATTTCGGCATTGCAGCATTTGCTACTCATCCGAGAAAATGAAGGCGAAGAGAGGTTACGCATGTTCCAACTGGTGGACTCCATGCTCAGCTATGTGGCCATGGACAGGAGGCTTCCCAACATGGACCTCAAGCAGAGCTTGAACTTTACCGTGCAGAATCTGCTGGACAAGTTACATACTGATTCAGAGGCACGGCAAGCTCAAGATGAGGCCCTGGAAAGCCGGCAGATTGCCGATGCAGCCATGGCTGAGCGGGACGACATGAGAGCCAAACTGGAGCTGGGTGCCGACGGTCTTGTTGCCCAGATGCAGAAGCAACTTGACGAACAAGCCAGATTCATCGAGGCACAGAGACGGCAAGCTGATGGCCTCAAGGCCGAGCTTGAGAATATGCAGACAGTTCGTGCAAAGGAGGCTCAGCGTTATGAGCTCGAGACCAGAGAACTGTATCTCATGCTACGGGACGCCCAAGATGTTGCTGCTTCCCAGGCTGCTAAGGGCAGTAGTGATAACAAGCCAGGAGCACCTTCGGAAGATCCCGTACGCATGCAAGGCATTCTGGATCGGCAACGTCTCATGGAACGGCTGCAAATGCAGATCGAAAGGCAAAAGACACAGTACAAGCTCGAGGGTAGAGTATGGGGTGACACGGTTGGCCCATCAGACCGCCTGCGCGCTCTACGTGAAGAAATGGATGGCTTCAGTGCACCAGAGGGCTCGGGAATGCCGCCTGAAGGGTTCAGCAACAGTATGCTGGGCGGTGTGCTTGGTGCTGTCAACCGGCAGACTAGGATACCTAGGAAGCCGGTACAAGACCGGGCTGAAACGATTCCTGAAAGCGATGACGACGAGGAGGGCATTGTCTATGAGAAGCCGAGACTCGTCGAATTCAAGAGACCAGTCATGGACCCGAGACAGGCCAGCAATCTCATGTCTGAAATCCAAGCAAAGGGCAAGAAATATGATGCTAGCGACTCGGAAGATGGCGATGATGTCACTACAGCTCCCTCTCATCCCAGCATGGAATCTCAATCTCCCATCACCCCAAGCGACCCGGACGCGCCCAAGGCTCAGGCTACCGGGACTGGTGCCGCTCCGCCGCCGCCGCCTCCTCCACCACCTCCGATGCCCGGTGCACTTGCAGGAGCACCTCCCCCAGCGCCTCCAATGCCGGGCGCGCTACCGGGTGCGCCGCCGCCGCCACCTCCTCCTCCACCTCTACCTGGTCAACTCACTGGTGGCCCTCCGCCGCCGCCGCCTCCTCCTCCTCTGCCCGGTTCAGTACCTGGTGGTCCTCCTCCTCCGCCGCCTCCACCACCCCTACCTGGCTCCGGTGGACCTCCGCCACCACCTCCACCGCCGCCTATGCCGGGCGGTGTTCCTGGAGGGCCACCACCTCCTCCTCCTCCAATGCCTGGTGCCATGTCTGGTCACTTCTTATCAGCGCAAAGCAATCTCCCTGCAGCGCCGTCCATTGGCTTGCCCATTGTGCGGCCCAAGAAGAAGCTCAAGAACATTCATTGGGAGAAGGTTGACGCACCGGAGGCCAGTCACTGGGCTGCACATGCACCCACCGCGGAAGAAAGAGAGGAGAAGTACATTGAGCTCAGCAAGAAGGGTATTCTTGATGAAGTCGAGAAACTATTCATGGCCAAGGAGATCAAGAAGATTGGCATGGGAGGTTCCAAGAAAGACGACAAGAAGCAGATCATATCTGGAGATCTGCGAAAAGCCTACGGTAAGGTTATCCTGATATTCTCAACCCTTTCAAGAGGCTAACATAAATTAGCTATTGCTCTTTCCAAATTTTCGCAGTTTTCTGTCGAAAAGATCGCGCAAATGATTATTCACTGTGACAAGGATGTTCTTGACAATCCTGTAGTCATGGATTTCCTGCAGAAGGACGACTTGTGCATTATTCCCGACAGCACGTCGAGACAAATGGCACCTTACAGCAAGGACTGGACGGGACCCAATGCCAGTAAAGAAGATCGGGAGCAAGATCCAAACGAGCTTACTAGAGAGGATCAGATCTATCTTCACACAGCCTTTGAATTACATTATTACTGGAAGAGTAGGATGCGTGCTCTGGCTCTTACAAAGAGCTTCGAGTCCGACTATGACGAGATCAACGAGAAGATCCGGCAAGTCGTCGAGGTCTCCGAGTCTCTACGAGACTCCGTGTCGCTGATGAACGTTCTGGGCCTTATCTTGGATATCGGTAACTACATGAACGATGCAAACAAGCAGGCACGCGGTTTCAAGCTCAGTTCGCTCGCCCGTCTTGGCATGGTCAAAGATGACAAGAACGAGTCTACTCTTGCGGATATGGTCGAGCGTATTGTTCGCAATCAGTATCCTGAATGGGAGGGTTTCACTGTGGACATCCAGTCTGTCATTTCGGTGCAAAAGATCAACGTCGAGCAGCTTCAGTCTGATGCGAAGAAGTATATTGACAACATCAAGAACGTACAAATGTCGCTCGACAGTGGCAACTTGTCCGACCCTAAGAAGTTCCACCCACAAGACCGTGTCAGCCAAATCGTACAGCGCTGCATGAAGGACGCGCGGCGAAAGGCTGAGCAGATGAGTCTCTATCTCGAGGAGATGGTCAAGACTTACAACGATATCATGGTATTTTACGGCGAAGATCCTGCTGATGAGGGCGCTCGTCGCGACTTCTTTGCCAAACTGGCTCTTTTCCTTAATGAGTGGAAGAAGTCTCGTGACAAGAACGTGACTATGGAGGAGACGAGACGCAGAAATGAAGCCAGCATGAAACGCAAGCACGCCGCTCAGCTCAAGATCAATGCGGTCAATGCCGAGGTTGGCGGCGCACCCGCGAGCCCAGCAAGTGCCGGCGCCATGGACAGCTTGCTCGAGAAGCTGCGCGCTGCCGCTCCCCAGGCGAGAGATCAGCGCGACCGCAGGCGGAGAGCGCGTCTCAAGGACCGACACCAGGTTCGCGTCGCCAGTGGGCAGAAAATTCCAGACGTCAACGAGATCCCAGATGTCGAAACTGCAGGCCTGCGATCGGATGGCACTAGTGCCGCTGATACAAACGAAGGACCTACTAGCCCTGGACTTTTGTCACCAGACTCTGCCGATGTGGCCATGGCTGAAGCAGCTGAAGACAGTCTGAGTTCCCGGGCGGAGATGCTGCTTCGCGACATGCGCAGCGGTGGGGACGGAGCTGAGGAGGGTGGAGAGAACAGCAGCAACATGCGTCGCAATGCAGCCGAAGAAAGGCGAGCCAGGCGGAGAAGATTGAAGAGTGGAAGTACCGCAAGCGCCGGAGATGCGCCAGTCGATGGAGAGGCACCCAAAAGCCCACCACCCACCGAAGAAGTACCACCAGTACCAACTGTTGCGGTGACCGATGCGGATGGCTGATCATTGGAATGGCACAAAGCACGCCATAAATGAATATATATAATGTCTACAACTTTGGAGAGTAGTGAAGACAGTACAAGCGCCGCGCCGCAACGAGCAGAGCATGGCACGGCTCACAGACTATCTCCGAGGCAGAGCCGTAACTCTCATATCGAGTGGCTCACAGGATATTCATGTGAGCATAAGCGAGTGGCCACGGGTAATGATCAGAGACTTTATTGTCGCCAAGTAATTCTCTACGTGGGAATAACCGTCGTTACAAGAAAACCAGGGCAACCGGTGAAGAAGTTACAGGCCCAGGATGTTAGCATACTATACTATATGTATCATCTGTCTATTGGACATATTTTTCATTCAATCATGACATGCTTGGTTTGTGCTTGCTCCGTCAATGATGCCTGCGCTTTAGGGCTGTGCCTCCTGAATGCAGTTCTGAATATCAAGTTTCATGTCCATTGCTGAACGATACGAGGTGACCGACCGCCACAGTGATTGTTCCTACGTAAATCCGGCCTGTGATCTCGGGGTAGGTAGCCGAGAGCCTTGGCAAGTCACCGTGTGTGGGCATGTACGTAAAGGGAGACTGGCAATACGAACGAGATCTACATTTCTCGACAGATATTTATAGTTCATTCGTCGTGCTCTGATAGAAACTAGATGGAGTAACGTGGCATCTAGAAACAAACAGTTCATGTTCCTTTGTATTATTGAAGACTGATCCTCCCAGACGGCGCCGCACACAAACGTAGCATGGATCATTTCCCCCAAATTGATCTGGTAGTGTGCGGCGCGGTCCCTCATTTCCCGTGGAGTGGATCTACTCGACCTCGTCGCCGACCACCATAGACCTACCTACCTACCTATGTAATCTTTGTTGTTGAGACAGAGTCATGCCAGTCACAAAATTATCTACATGGTGGAGACATGTGCAAATTTTGCATTCTGATATGATAATAACTCTTCCTTCTTCAACAAAGTCACCAGCACTTGTCGTCTCGATTAGTATAGTGGTCAGTATGCCAGCTTGTCATTCAATTACAATTGAACTCGCTGGAGACCGGGGTTCAATTCCCCGATCGAGAGAATGGTACAATTCAAAATTGTTCTTTTTGCCTTTTATGTGGGTGTTGAACGCCATCTTTTTCCCTCATCCATAAATTACATACTGATGCTGATATTGCTGAGCCGTTGTCCGTGGGCGCGGCTGCTAGTCCATCAGCCACTGCTCGGACCGGCATAACGGCATACGGGCGCAATATTCTATAAGCTGGAAAGGAACGTTACAAAGAGGCTGATTCCACACCATCCGGGAATGGGCGGAAATCTCATAACCGTTATTAACAATATGCGGCCGACATCTGCCTGTGGGCATTTTGGGCAGCTTATGGCTGATATCTATACGAGAGGCATCGGGTGATGAGTGCGGGCTAATAAGGCATAAGAAACTCGGCGCACCAAAAAGGACTTTGTTTAGTGGAGCCACATTGCCAAGCGCCTACAACATTCCACATGCCCGAGCTGTCGTCGCTCCAGTTGTTCTTGTGTATTTAAGACAAAGCTGAGTTGCCCAGCTGTGCTTATAGTGCTGATGTCAGCACCCTGGTTAAGCCTCACGATAGCCTAACCCGACTTCGACTTTTACGACTCTCATTTTTGTTTCTTGCCCGTGGCGGTGCAGACGATTCCTTGTGCAGGAACAGAAGAAAACTACTGTAAATGGAAGTCTACTCGAGCATCAGACCAATCAAAAGACTCAGCCAAGCCAGACTAGTTCATATCAGCCAATCAGACCAAGAGAGATCCATGGAAATGGCGGCCAGTCGCCTCGCTTGGCAGACCACTCGCTCGAGGCTCAGTCACAGTAAGGGTGCAAGCAAAAATAGAACTTCTCGCGATGGCTTCAACCACAGGCTGTGTGAACGGAATAGTCGTCTGACTGATGAAGATGTGGACGGATGGTCAAGAATGGAAAAGTATATAAAGAGAGTGGGTGAGCGTCGAGAAAACGATCATATCTCAGAACATCAATCAGCACATTTCAACACATACAATAGAACAATCAACCATTCTTTCTACTTTTCATAATTCATCTCTTTAGATTTTTATAATTCTAAATCATAAATAATCAAAATGAAGTCCTTCACTGCCATCACCCTCCTCATTGCCGCCGCCAGCGCGCGCACCACCCCAATCCGCGCCCGCCAGGCCACCGCCGAGGGCTACATCATCCTGCCCAGCGAGCTCGCCTCGCACGACGTCATCGACGGCGACAACGTCTTTGCCGTGGGCACCGCCACGGCGCGCAACGGCGACATCGAGCTGTCGACCCTGTACTCGATCACCTTTCCCGCGGCCGTGGCGGGCAAGACGTGCGCCGCCCGCTTCTTTTCCGGCCGCGCCACCGACTCGGTCGTCGGGACCGGCGAGCTCGACTTTTTCTCGACCGGCATTACCGACCTGGCCGGCCAGGCCAACGGTAACCTGCGCGACCAGGCCCTGGGCCGCATCGCCTTTGTCCCCGGCCAGAGCGGCGACTTTGTCGTTGACCCCAACGTGCCCTTTGTCTATGCTGGTGGCTTCCCCTGCCCCGCCGGCCAGACCATTGTCCTGGAGAGCGCGGCTGTCGGCGAGTTTGATGTCGTCTCTGTCGGACAGGACTTTGCGGGTTCCTTCAACCCGGCCCAGGGTGTCCCCAACGGTTTGAGCTTTGTTGCCTACTAAGTTGGTGCCAACATTACATTTGAAACGGGTGATTTGGTTTAAAAGATGGTTTTGATTTGGGTCTTGGTCTGGGTTTGGCATTCCAGTATCGTTTTGGTTTGGGAGTAGCATTTGCATAGCGAGGGTTCTTGGTAGCGTCATTCGCGGTTTATTTGGTAGATTACATTAACACGGTCCTTTATTCATTGCTAGAAATATGGTTCCTCTTGATTTATATCACCTGATACCTTGAGTCTCGGGTGTTAACCACCGACGCAATAGAGTGTAAATAAATACTGCTTCGTCCTGAATCGTTATCACGCCAAATCCAAGTTACGGTGCAATCAAGTAGTCAGTCAAGGATATCATTTTAATCTACCAGTGGCTAATAGTGATAGTACTAATTCATCAATCTCGAACATCATTTCCGTTGATAACCAAACCAACCTGTATTCATAACCCAACATTTGAACCACCCCTGATGCCACCAAATGCTTGCACACAAACAAATGCTACGCTAAATGAAAAATAAAAGAGACGACAGCTTTACACATCAGAACCTGTTCCACCATGACGTTGTATCTTTTTACCAATCAAGACCCTCGGTCTTGGAGCAATCCATGGAGGAGCAGAAGCTGATATCATTTTCAGTAACCTTGGCATTACCGGGGAGCTGCTGGCGCGCGGGCCAAATCTCGCGACCGGCGCGGCGCTCGGCCTTGTGGTGGTTGGTGACGGCGTCGCGAACCGAGGACTGGAAGAAGAGGGGACCCTGCTCGAGGCGGGGGTGCATCTCGCCATTGACGAAGACGCCGGCGTTGATGTTGGCCTGGGCGTTGGCGCACAGGTACTTGTCCTCGGACATGATGCGCTTGTAAATGTCGTTGATGACGGAAAAGTCGGCGTCGCTCGAGCCCTTGTTGCGGTACACCTCGTAGCTCATGATGGACTTGTTGGGGCCCTTGGGCACGAAGCGTTGCATGAAGAAGAAGTGAGGTCTGTGTGAAAATAGTCATGTTAGTCATTTGATTTCTTCCTTTCTCTTCTTCAACTTGATAAGACGAAGAGCAAGAGGAGAAAACTTACGATACGTTCATGGATGCGTTGGGAAAGTAGTAAGTGGCGGCAACATTGAAACCCTTGGCAATCTGTTCTGGGGTAGGACGACCGAGGTGCTGGACATATCCCTTCTCAGTGACGACGCCATATGCCTCGAGATCAGCGATTTGAGGAATATCGGGGTGAGTGGTCGGGCAGTGATAGCACTCCTTTTTTCGAGTCACGAAATGTCAGCTTCTCGTCTTGCATTAAGAAGTTCTTTTGAAAAGTGATACCCACATTGTAGTTATCGGCCAGAATCTTCCAGTTGTACTCGCCCTCCATCTCCCAGGTGTGGTCAAACTCGTAATCGTCCCAGTTGTAAGCCTTGAAGCGATCCTGTGTGTCGATGCCAGCAAAGTGCTCGTTCCATGGCGTGGGCTTCTCAGAGGCATCGAGGTTGACCCAGACAAAGCCGTTGGTGTCAATGTGGACGTGGATGGGGAAGAGACCGTTCTTGCTCTTGTCAAAACCCTGCAGCTCCTGGTAGCCGGGGGCCTTGGTGAGCTTTCCGTTCATGCCATAGGTCCAGTTGTGATATTTGCAGGCGAGAATGCTGTTGTTGCCCTTTGGCTCAGTGACGACCGGGAAGGCACGGTGTCTGCAAATGTTGTGAAAGGCATTGATGGTGCCGGTGCGATCTCTGGAGATGATGAACTGGAAATTGGCAATCTCGTATCGGATCCAGTCACCCTTGTTGGGAACTCGGAGGCTGTGAGTAGTGAGGAGCCACCGCTTGGAGAAAATGGCGCGCCTCTCGAGCTCGTACATGTCCTGAGATGTATACCATGATGCCGGCAGGGCTCTGACGGGCGATGGCTTTGATGATTCTGTCGAGTCTATCGACTTCTGACTAAGGAATTTCGACAGAAGCGATAAGCCCATGGCCAGCGCCGAAGCGAACAGGCCAAAGAAGAGAAGGTTTGGCGAATAGTAAGAAGTTAATTCAAACATCTTGAATGTGTGTGTTTGGTGTGTAAAGATGTGTGTCTTACACCTCTTGTGAACTGGATGACAGTATACTCGAGGATGGCTTCTTTTATTACTCAGACTATTGGGGACCCGTGCCCTCTCTGGGTTCTTTATCAGTCTCTGATATATGATATGGGCACCGTACTATCCTATCCGGTTAGCACCATCCAGCCTCTTGTCTTGGCTAATCATGATGCCGTCCATATCTCAGACGATCGTATACTTTCCCGATTTGGGAGATATAGCGACCGGTCACATGACCGGAACTGAACACCGCCCTGCCGATCCGGGGTCCTTGATAAAGATACGCTCACGTGATCGGTGGGTGGGGATTTGGGCTGCACTATGACATGGCAGATAAAGTTGTAGAACCAATACGGTCGTGCTAGAAGTTGGGCAACATTATTGAGAGGCGTTGTTGTCCATTACAGAATAGCTTGCCAATAGCAACGATGCTGGTGGTCATGAACATTCGATCATGAAAACTAGCCGGGCCCTTGAACCGGTCATCGGAATTCCGGCCGACCCCACTCGTGTCTATTGCCCCCTCTCAACCAAGGCGACGATGTCGGATGGTGAGCCGCAATACTTGGCGAAGTTTGGAGTAGTTTTTCTAGCTGTCTGTTGAAAAATAAAGAAAATATTATTCATTTGGGTATCTTTTTCCTCAAATAATCCCAATTGACCAGACGACATACCGTGGGTGTGACAGTCATTGTGTAGTGTGTTGCATCAATCTCCTCATTACACCGGCATAGCATCATTTTCTGTTTTTCCTTTCATCGTTGAACATGGCTTCGGAAGGGCTTTCATACATCATTGTCGGCGCAGGTGTTTTTGGTGTTTCTACTGCCTATCACCTGATCCAGAGATATCCCCATGCGTCAGTAACCATTGTCGATCGGGACGCATATGACGCAGAAAGCCGTGTGGCTGCGTCGTGGGATTGGAACAAGGTGGTGCGCGCCGATTACGATGACATTGTCTACTGCCAGCTCGCTCTAGAGGCCCAGGATATCTTCAAGTCGGACCCTCTGTGGAAGCCGTACTTTCACGAGACGGGCATTTACTGGATGTGCCGCAGCGACTATGCGCAGGATGTCATCAACAACTACAAGAAGCTCGGCCGCACGGCTGATCTCCAGGCCGTGCCAATTGAGGAGGCTCGCAAGCTGTACGGCGGTCTTTTTGAGGACGCCGACTACACTGGTGTCAAGGAGGTGCTCGTCAACAAGACTAGTGGATGGGCGGCTGCTGGCGACGCCCTGAGGGCCGTGACCAAGAGGACCCTGGAGCTGGGCGTCAAGTACCACGTGGGCGAAGTTGGCTCATTGCAGTTCGACCTGGACGGCAGATGCACTGGAATCAAGACGACGAGAGGAGAGGTTTTGAGCGCTTCCCACACCATTCTGTGCACGGGAGCCTACACGCCAAAGTTGCTGGAATACAGCGCCCAGAGCAGCGGCATCAAGGATATTAGCGCCGGTTCTCGAATCGTGGCCGGAGGCATTACAACGGGAATGACCAAACTGGACGACGAATCATACAAGCGATATGCGCAAATGCCGGTTGGTGTTCAGGGATATACAGCCGCCACAGGTAAATTCTTTATCTTTTTTTTTTTTTCCATTTGCATGACTGAAAGCAATTAGCTAACTTTTAGCACAGGTCCCTTTATTGGCAGTCTCCCACCAACAGCGGACAAGGAGCTCAAGTGGTGGGGACAAACCATTTTCAGAGACACTCGAGAGGTGCTACCCGGCCGCTTCCTCTCAGCGCCGCCCGCAGAGCCAGACTATGCCCAGTGGAAGGTTTCTGCCAAGCTCAAGGAGGACATTGACTTTGCCAATCAGGTCTTTTATGGCAAGAATGGTGCCTCGTGGAAAATGGAGAAGCACCGAATTTGCTGGTAAGTGTTCTCTGCATACCAACCACCAAACCACACTTGTGGTTCTCTTTGGCTAATATATCCGTCCAAAGGGATGCATTCACAACGAGCTCTGATTTCATCATCTCGCCTCATGCCGGTGCCAAGGGTCTGTATGTTGCGACCTGCGGAAACTTCCACGGATACAAGTTCTTCCCAGTACTTGGAAAGTATGTCGTGCAGATGATTGAGGGTTCGCTGGCTCCCGAGTTGGTGCAGAAGTGGGCTTGGGACCGCGAGCGCCCGGATCCGTGCTTGAACCCTGACTGGCCGAGATTTGAGATGAAGGATCTCTTGGACGTTGAGAGGACTTCAAAGTTATAAGCGAATATTTTATATCTGCCCAATTGTTTGACAGAAGTACCGTTTTGTTTTATGGTAAATTGGGGTCATTCACCCCAACCTTGGAAGGTAAATACGGTAGTCACAAAGGTTACCAAGTTAATGATAACATGTTTATATGATGCCTCTGCAGTGCCCACAATATGTGATCTCGTCGAGACCCAAGAACAAGAACAAGGTTGTTCTGCATAGAAACATGCAGAATACCAGAGATCATTTTCTCTAGACCAAATGAGGTAGTTCATGAACTACCGTGCATATCCATTTCCATTTGGTACGACTTGCTGCTCTGTTCATCTAACCTAAGGTTACCTGCTTACAGCCAGTGCATGGATTTGTCCCTTGCCGCTGCTATTCTGTGCCCAATCATTGAGCCATGGACAAAGCTGACTTTGGTACATATTGCTAGGTATACAGACAGGTAGTTATACCGTAGACTGTTACAGCCACTAGGATGCTTAGAGTATGTAATGTACGGAGTACAGAGTATATAAGCAATGAAGCACGGTTTCCACATTTCCAGTACTTTGCTCTTCTGGGTGGAAACCGTTGGGTCCGCTGATTGTATGCTAGCGCTGCGAGTTTCCGTCATTGATTACTACCTACATACTACCTAGAGGATACATGGTATGCACTCCAGAAGTCTGAGACCTGTTCTGTTTCTGCTACCGACTGCTCGGAATACTTATTTCCTGCATCTCAAACGGGAGTACTGGTGATCAATGGCTGTTTGTTGCGACGTCTCCATGTTACATTGGGGTTGACTGGGGGTTGGAAAGAGGAGAAAGAAGAATGCTTGAATAGAAGAAGAGGGGGGTCGGTCCTCTTCGGCAGCGCTATCTGGGATTGATTGCTGCTACCTAGGTTAGGTACCTAGCTACACTACGGAAATTTGGCAGGTGCGCCAGACAAGCTGTAATTTTAGCGTCACTCACCTCGGGGGTCGGACATGGACATAACAATAGACAGTAAATTTGGAGACGAGAACCACATGCATGATTCCATCTATAAAAACAATCCTCCATTCTCTACCCTCTGATTCTTCTACTCTACCATCACTACCAGCCAATTCATTTTCTCTGTCTACCCACCATTCTATATACGGCTTATCGCCGGCGTCGGCGCCAAACGATATCGAATCAAAAAGTGTGACTCGCGCACGAATCGGAGGTTGGTCATTTATCTTCTTAGATAGTAGATTGGGTAGATAATCATGATAATATAGTGGAGGCAGGCGTGGGCGCGGGCGCGTTTCTGCTCTTGCTCTCACTGCTGCCGCCTTTCCACTTTCCCACCACCAAACCCCCCGAAACCCGACGCCAATCCAGTGCTAGTGCTAAGCTCAAGTTGCGCTCAGGTTGCTACTGCTGCTGCTGCTGCTGCTGCTGCTTCTCAGCTGTCGCCGTCCTCGATCTACCTACCTAAACATTTGAACCCACCCACACCACCCTGACCTCTCATTCTTGACCCCACACTTTCTTTCACTGTCCCGTATCTGAGTATCTGAAAAGAAGGAAAAGGAGAAAGAAAGTAAAGAAAAAGAACAGAAAACCAAAAAAGGAACAAAATTGTTTCGGATCTCGTGATTCATGACGCCCCAAGCGGAGAACAGCAGTAATCTACGTGGCCGCCGAAGATCACACAATGCCTGTTTACCCTGCAGGTAAGTAAAATTATGCCATATCACAACACTCCTGTCTTGTTCAATTGCTAACAACTACTGGTAACAGGAGGAAAAAGACCCGTTGCCCGGGCGAGAAGCCAGCATGTTCTACTTGCACACGCCTCAACCAGCCGTGTTCTTATGCGCCCGTGATCAAAAATTCACGGAGCGGCCATTCGGTACATCGTCGTGTGACACACCGTCCATTGATGAGCGTCTCTTGACCAGTCGATAGGAAGAGAGGCTCGCGAACCTAGAAGAGAAGCTTGATCGCATCTTGAACGGAAACCTGTAATCCATGAACCTATCCCAAGCTGTAGCACTCATTTTTTGGTGCTGCTGCGTGTGCTCTGCAATAAACTGACTATTCCTCCAGGCCAGCATATACCCCAGCTCCTCGTAGGCCGTCGAAAGATGTCTCTGACATATCCGAGGAGTCTTACTCCCCCAGTCCGGTTCCTGAGCGAAGCACTCCCGCAAGTCTGAACTCGGGGACTCACACTGACTCTACAAACTCAAGACCGCGGCCAGATCAGACTGACATTGCCCGTGGCATCAGGACCTATTTTAGTCACTGCCACAGACAACCCATTTGGTGCTTTGAGAGGGAGGATGTCTCCAATTTTGCATCACTGCCTGATGAACTTGTATATAGCATCCTGGCCTTGACTTCACATTTCTCCCCCAGGCAAATTTCTCAGCCATGCCACTATGGCAACGATGCGAGACATCTAATTATGCTGCGCATTGCCAACGGTGCTGTGAGCCTTCCGACTATTGAGAGCTTGTGTCTACTCTCGTATTCTACTTTCATAGGTGCGTGTGGAAGCAAACACAGAATTTTTGACAACTAAATTGACATTATTATAGATGGCAACCCCCATCTTGGCCAATTTCATCTCGGCCTTGCTATTCAACTCTGCCGGTCTGCCATGCTTGACATGGAATCAATATACACTGGTTCAGATCCAACCATGGAACGAAAGAAGAAGCTTTTCTGGAGCCTACAATTGCTTGAACACTTTTATGGTAGACCGAACGGCTTACCAAGCATACCCGTCGAGATTGGAAGGCCAAGTTACGGTCCAGCTGGCGGTGTCCACGGATTTTTCTCGGACTTGGGTCCCAAAACACCACCTCTCCCAACAGATAGTCTTGGCACCTCAACCCCGGATGAACCAGGGATATGGAATACAGGCCTTCGGCTGGGATGGGTATGGAGTAGAGTGAGAAAGTATGTTTCGGATTGCTCGCAGAACATACTGAAAGAGCCGTGGCGACACGACTCGACATATGCCATGGTGTGCTCTGACTTTCTGGAAACGGAGAATCGGATTCCCATGTGTCACCGCTATGATTCGGTCAAGTTTTACGAGCGAAAAAGAGACGAGCTGAGAAGTGAGCATGACTACTGGGCGGCATGGCTAAAGGAGCAGTTCACATACCACTCCATTCCCACGGTCCTCAACCACCCATTTCTCTACATTGTCGGAGCTCAGCACAACCCAAACCTGGCGATTCCTAATACTTTCTGGAGGCGGTCGTCTGAGCTGGCGCTGATTCATGCGACTTGGATCGTTCGAATCATAGACATGATTGTGGACAAGCAAGTAAAGCTCACCGATCCATTCTTTGCACACATGGCCGCCATTGCTGCCACGGTGCATCTTTACTACTGCTGTGCAGCAGCAGCTAGGCTGAAACATAAATCACACACCGATTTTGCCAAGTGTAGGCAGTTTCTCAAGAGCTTCACAGCCCACTCTGCAGCTTGCGCAGCTTTGGTATGTCTTTATTATCTGCTCAGCGGCATACGGGCTAACTTTGAAATTAGGATCATAATCTGGATAGGATGACCCGAATCGCTGCCGATTCGGATAATATGGATGGGGAGGACTGGATGCCATCCAAGCTAAACTTGAGTGTACCCTTGATGTGGGACATTTTGCAGTTTAACTGCATGACCATGACGCCTGCTACCAACTCTGTCGACTTGTTGGATGCTTCACTGACCCCGACGATGGCCCAAGAAGATCTTAGCGAGTGCACGTTGCTAGAAATTGTCGTCGCGTCGTCGCCAGAGATCAACGTCGATACAACTGATGGAGGACAAACAGCACCTCTTGCCTCTTCTGCTTCTACAAAACCTGATACTCCACGCAACATGGTTTGGAATGAAACTAACCTCGAGCCAACGGACAATCTTACGTTTAACACTACCCCATGGCTGTATGCAGATCTTTCGCAGTTCGCAAGTCTTGGAGATCTGGGCCTACTGGAAGCCCAGTCAGGAATGAATGATAATCGTGCCCAACAACCATGGTGGGAGGGTGGGAACTTCAGCAATGCCACATTCTACTAGCCGTTGAAGTGGCTTTCATGTGGATTCGGTGAAGCTACGGCAGCAATTTTCAAAACAGACGTCAACATGTATACGATACCAATCGAGCAACATTCAATTCTCTGCACTTTGAGCTTGTTTACATTCACCGGAAGCGCTTCTGCAACAGTCCTACGCGATTGCTAAAGCAAATGTGTCATGACCCGGGCTAAAGTCTCCGGCATCGTGGCCCCGATAGATGTTTGATGTGTATCATGATGAGCTGTTCGTCAGGCCAGTGTGAGCTCTATCAATCCGACAACTAGTCATCAGTCATCAACATATCACGAGTGGATTTATGTCTCCATATGGCTCGCCGCTCTAGACAGGCTGCAGCATGTTTTCAAGTGGATCGCATAGTCCACCCAACCTTGGAAATATCATGGGCCATGACAGCATCGGGCCCAGGCCACCAAGACCCAATAGCTCAGCATTCGGACCCCTGCGGCTCATGCTGCATCGAGATAAGCAGGAAAAAGGCCAGCTTCTGTCCTAGCGGCGAGCTTTGAGGATCTGCCGGGGAATCTGGGGTAAGAATCAATGCATTGAACCAATAAACGGTAGCAGCTTATCACACACAGCGACACCCGATCTCGGCGCTTCTATGATCAAGCTCGATGCGTGCAGGCGGGTTGACCGGGCCCACTCACCGATTGGCTCCATCCATGATAAGTTGTCCCTAAATAGGTAATCGTATCCCTGCATGAAATGGTAATACTGCTTTGTACAATCATAGGAAAACACGAGAACCCTGCATCCATCTCGAAATCCACCCAAGCCTAGCCTCCCTTGCGTCCCGCTCAATAGCGCGGGCGGGCGGCGGAGGCGACAGACGAACCGTTCGCTTGATTATCCTCCCTTGGCAGTGAGCACATGTCCTCCAACCCATGGGCGACTCTTCGCAACTAGCATAGTCAGACAAATCCAAACTCGCCTGATTCGATGAGGCGTAAGCCGACCGTTGGCCCTCGAGCCGTCAGAATTGATGTGTCAACGTTTCAGGCGCCCGGAGCAAATCTGTTACACTACCTAGAGTCTGGCCCCGGCCAGGTGACTTTCTTGGGGTCCCGCCCTACGTTGTCCAGCTTGGAGAGTGATGGTCATGTGCCCGTCGTATTGCAGAGATGTTGTGACCCCAAAGACGACGATATTTTGTTCAAATTACATAATTGCCACGACCGTGGTAATGGCCCCGTGGAGCCCCAAACCCAAGCTTTCCAACCTCCACGAGCTTCAGTGCACGAACCATTCCCCGCAACGGAAGGATGTATAAGCATATTGCGCTAAAGACTTGCGATTCTTCACTGTACTAGAAATTGAACCGCCCACCGTTCCATACGCTTGGAAGTGACAACAGATTGACTTCTTCGGCATATGCTTCATTATACCTATCTGTGATCGCTGGGATCTTCACGGCCAAGACTGATCTGCAGGGTCTCAAAATCCCATGCTCAATAACGATTCGCACGAGTCATATCTCGAATCGCGATGTACGGGGACCACTTGCGTGGGTGGAAGATAAGCTGTAGATCTATCTCTGGGACACCCTCCACATTTGGGAAACGTATGGACTAGTTCTAAAGATAGCGACGGCGTGAGGAGGCATTCGATCATAGAGGATACACCCATTCCAAGGCGAGGCAAAGGCACTGTGGCTCGGTCAGTGACACGGTATCCGGTCATCGTATACCGATCACGTGATCCACACTCTTGCGCCGATGGTCTGTATGGCCGATAACCTTGGCCTATGATGGCTTCGGCATAGATTAGCTCAATATCATATAAGTCATTATAGTATGAGCTTACTTGGGAGCATATTATAACAAATCGAGATTCAACTCAGACGCATCATTGACCCTATCACGACTCTTATTCGATCAATTGGCCTTTTTGACGACCATTGAATCATTCCTATATTGTGCCCGAGTTTGATTTCTCCCCAGGCATTTTCGTTAGAGGTGTCTGTCCTAGAGCGATTCAGCACAGACCTCTTTTCTTGACCCCCTTGTCGAAAGGGTATAGGCCGGCCATTCACAGCCATGGCCACTTCACAACGCGTTGTCATTATCGGTGCCGGCATCGTCGGCACCAACATTGCAGATGAGCTGGTCTCGCGGGGATGGACGGACGTGACGGTTGTTGAGCAAGGTCCCCTGCGCATGCCAGGAGGATCGACATCACACGCTCCGGGCTTGGTGTTTCAAACCAATGCCTCCAAGACCATGACACTGTTTGCCCGCTACACAGTCGAGAAGTTCTTGTCGATAGAAAAGGAAGGCGAGAGCTGCTTCAACCAAGTCGGTGGCCTGGAAATCGCCACCACGCCCGAGAGAGTCGAGGAGCTCAAGCGCAAGCTTGGTTATGCTCACTCTTATGGCATCGACGCCAAAATCATTACCAAAGAAGAGTGCCAGAAGCTCTATCCTGGCCTGAACACCGATCTGGTTCTCGCCGGTCTCCACATTCCCACAGATGGCCTGGCTCTCGCTGCAAGAGCTGTTGAGCTCTTGATTGAGCGAACAAGAGCCGCTGGAGTCAAGTACATCGAATTGACGCCGGTGACTGGAATTGACAAGGCAGATGGCCGCGTCACGGGCGTCATCACACCAGATGCCACTATCCCGGCCGATATCGTCATCTCGTGCGCTGGTTTCTGGGGAGTCGAGATTGGCAAAATGGTCGGTCTGCCAGTACCACTGCTGCCAATGGCCCACCAATACGCCAAAACGACACCCGTGCCTCACACCAATGGAGTCCTAACCAACGGACATGCCGAGACCAATGGACACACCAACGGAGTAGTCAAGCCAAACTCGGCCAGACTACCAATCCTGCGGTACCAAGACCAAGATCTCTACTATCGCGAACACGGCGAACAGTACGGTATTGGCTACTATGGCCACCGGCCCATCCCCGTCGATGCCGCCTCGCTGGCCCAAGCTACCGAGGACGTTAGCGAGCACAAGATGCCCTCGCGCCTCGACTTTACAACAGAGGACTTTGACCCGGCCTGGAAGCTCTCGCAGGAGCTGCTGCCGGCACTCAAAGGCTGCGAGATTGCCGACGGCTTCAACGGAATCTTCTCCTTTACGCCCGACGGTGGGCCGCTGGTCGGTCAGGCACCGCACCTCGACGGCTTCTACGTCGCCGAGGCCGTCTGGGTGACACACTCGGCGGGTGTGGCGCGCGCCGTGGCCGAAGTCCTTACCGATGGCCGCTCCCGTATCGATCTGGCCGAGTGCGAGATTGCCCGCTTCGAACAGGTCCAGCTCACGTCGGCCTACGTGAGCGAGACGTCGCAGCAAAACTTTGTCGAGATTTACGATATCCTACACCCGCACCAGCCACGCGAGTCGCCGCGCAACATGCGCGTCTCGCCCTTTTTCGCCCGCCAGGAGCAGCTCGGCGCCTTTTTCCTCGAGGTCGGCGGCTGGGAGCGCCCCTTTTGGTACGAGTCCAATGCCAAGCTCCTCGACGAGCTGCCCGAGGAGTGGAAGCCCGTGGAGCGCGACGCCTGGTCGGCGCGGTACTACTCGCCCATTGCGGCCGCCGAGGCCTGGAAGACGCGCAACGCCGTGGCCATGTACGACATGACGCCGCTGCGGCGCCTCGAGATCTCGGGCAAGGGCGCCGTGGACCTGCTGAAGCGCATGACCACGGGCAACGTGTCGCGCAAGCCGGGCGCCGTCACCTATACCCTGCTGCTCAACGAGCACGGCGGCGTGCGCAGTGACATCACTGTGGCGCGCCTCGAGGACGAGCTCTTCCAGGTCGGCGTCAACGGCCCCGTCGACACGGCCTACTTTACCCGCGAGGCGCGTCTGCAGAGCCAGTCGACGCCCGACCGGCCCGCTCACGTCCGCGACATCACGGGCGCGACCTGCTGCGTGGGACTCTGGGGCCCGCTCGCCCGCGAGGTGATGCAAGAGGTCAGCCCCGACGACTTTTCCAACAAGGGCCTGACGTACTTCCGCACCAAGCGCGCCACCATTGCCGGCATCCCCGTGACGGTGATGCGGCTGTCGTACGTGGGCGAGCGCGGCTGGGAGATCTACGCCAGCGCCGACAATGGCCTGCGGCTCTGGGACGCCCTGTGGAAGGCCGGCCAGCCGCACGGCATCATCGCCGCGGGCCGCAGCGCCTTCAACTCGCTGCGCCTGGAGAAGGGCTTCCGGTCCTGGGGCACCGACATGACGACCGAGCACGACCCCTTCGAGTCCGGCCTCGACTTTGCCGTCAAGGCCGACAAGGCCGAGTTCGTGGGCAAGGCCGCCCTCGAGGGCCGCTCCAAGGACACGGTGAGCCGGAGGCTGCGCTGTCTGACCGTCGACGACGGCAGGTCCGTGGTCCTGGGCAAGGAGCCCGTCTTTGTCGCCGGCAAGGCCGAGGGCTACGTCACCAGCGCCGCCTTTGGGTACACGGTGCGCAAGCCCGTTGCCTATGCCTACCTCCCCAGCTCGGTACAGGAGGGCGATGCCGTCGAGATTGAGTACTTTGGACGGCGGATCGCGGCCACGGTCACGCCTGAGCCCTTGTATGATCCGTCTATGAGTCGTCTCCGGGGTTAAAATTGATTGTTTTTTGATCTTGTCGTTTTTGTGCATGTTATTTTATTTGCATCATAGGCACCTTGTTTGTGGTCTTGGTTCAGACCTTGGTTATATGTCGCTACGAATAATGAGCAGAGGGCCTATATTAAGGAGCTCTTTGCATGACTCGGGAGAATGAATTATGTATTTTAGTTTTTGAAGATTATCAGACCTGATGATTGGAAATCAATATGATTGAATCAAAGTAATTCGTCGTGTTGACTTTCGACACTTGTGTATCGTGATCGTGACCCATGCAAAGACGTACCAGCTATAGCACTTGGAAGATATTCACAAGAGTCGCCAAATGGCAATGATCAGAAACATTTTCAAATTCATCATTTTATTAGGGAATGACCGACTATCAAGGTATCAAGGTGGCTTTCACCAAATGCAGAAAAATAAAAAATAAAACTCGAAAGGCTTCAAAGTCGAAAGGAGGTATAAATAAGCACGTCCATTTTCATGATCCATTCCAAACGATATTCCTCGCCCATGAGAACAAACTAGGCATCATAATAAAGCGTGAGAGACGTGGGAATGGGCGACTCCTTGGAGCTCGAGTCCAAGTAATGTCTCATCTTGATGCCAGCCAAGTCGTGTTCCACAATGGTAAACTTGCCCAGCTTGCCAGGGGCACGACGGACGTTCTTGAGCCTAAAGACCTCACGGAGCGTGGCAGCCAGCGCCGGGGTGACGAGGCGGGCGCCAAAGCAAAAGTGCAGGCCGTGGCCGAGCAGGATGTAGTCCTTGAACGGGCGCAGGGGGTTGAGCTTCTCGGGCTCGGGGTACTGCGTCGAGTCCATGGCCGCCTTGGACGTGGCGATGAGCACCGTGTGCCCGGCCTTGACCGTGACGGGCCCGCGGGCGCCGTCGTTGACCGTCGTGTCCCGGGTGGCGACGCGCGGCAGGCCGGGAACCACGCCGGCGTGGCGCATGCCCTCCATGACGAAGCCGGCCAGCTCGCGCTCCGACTTGTCCGGGTCCATGTGCGCCAGCTCAATGATGCGCTCCTTGTACTGCTCGTAGCCCGGGCTGAGGTACAAGTCAATGAGGAGCGAGGCCTGCTGGGTAATATTGCCGGCAACGGGCGCGCCCATGCCGATACAGTCGCCGACCATGTCGCCGATGGGCAGCTTTGAGTCGTTGAGCGCGTGGTACAAACGGTCAGCCTGGGGTCCGACTTCAAACGCACTGCCCTTGGCGAGCCAGTCCACGGCCTTTTCCTTCAAGCCTTGCTGCGTCTTTAAATGTGTTTCAAAAATGGGCCGCAGGGCATCGCCCGCCTTCATTGCCGCCTCGCGGAGCTTCCACTCATTGATTGGCATGATATTGAAACTCTGGTACATGAACAAGACAAGGTAAGCACCAAATGCCTCGAAGATGGATACCAGACCCTTGGGTTTCTCCTGAGTCTTGAGCGGAATGGCAAACTTGTCTGCCAGCCACAGGATGGGCGTAATGTTGGTGACATCGCGCACAACGTCAATTGACCGTCTGCCCTTGGAAAGGGTCAATGAGTTTGCACTAATGAGCTTCTTGACATTGGTGCTGAAAAAGTTGGTTATGTCCTTTTCGAAGCCATCCTCCATAAAGACCTTGTGGAGGATCTTGGACCGCTCGTCATGTCGGTTGGCATCGTCCCAGCCAATCATGAAATCGTGACCGGCAGTGCAGTTGCGAATGGCATCCTGGTACATGACGCGGAAGTTCTCACGGTCTTCAAACACCTGCTTGCAGCCTTCGTGTGTCTGGACACTGATTATGTCCATGCCACTCGGGGGCCGCCTGAGGTCGTATTTGTCCAGCGCACCGTTGCCCTTGAGAATACCGCGTGCGGCCTCTGGAGTGTAAAACGGCAGGAGAGCATATGATGAAGTGCCAGTAAAGGCGCCAGGCAAGCCTCTAAACAGCAGTTTGGGCAGCATGCCGCCATAAGCACCTGGAGCGTTGTCCTGGAGCAAAGATGCACCCCAATGCGTCAGAGTATTGCTGTTGAGATCGTAGCTCAGAAAACGGTCACCACGGACCAAAGCCACGGCGTCATCGAGAATACCTCGGCCGGTTGTCTGTCCTGGGCAGACACCACTACCTGGTATGGCGGGCTTTGTGCACTCTGCCATTAGACCAGGGTAGAGCTCCATGTTCTCAATGTGACCATAGAGAAGTTCCGCAGCTCTGGCAACCGTGGTATCCTCGTTCCACTCGTCAAAGCTTTCGTATGGCTTCAAGTTGAGATATCGACGGAATCTAACACAAAAGTTAGTTATCTATAAACATAAATTCAATTGTACCACAACTTACTCATTGAGAGTGCAAACGTTAAAGACTTCTCTCGCTTGTAGTTGTCCCATGATATCCACAATTTTCAGACTGGCTGGAGTTCCGTGGGCACCAAACTCATGAGCCGGTTCTTCAATGGCGTCCTTGATGAGCTCTGCCAATTCAACATCACTAAATCGACCATTAGCCTGGCGTTTCAGACCGCCAAAAGTCCATTCCTTGGGATCAGTCGCCATGAGCTTGTGGCCGTGGTTCATCATGACCTTTAGGAACTGCTCATGCGTGACATCTTCAATGGAAGCCAAGTCAGGAAAGTCGGACCGCAGGACAGCTTCCATCCAGTCGGCGTCGGCGGCGCTGAGGGCCGCGTGCCAATGGTAGAGGACGGCAAACTCTACAGACACGACGTTGCCGTTGCCTCGCTCGACGCGCTGGCCACCCTTTTTGATTTCCTTGCCCAGGTTGAGGTTCCACTCCGAGTTGGCTCGGGGGGTATTGAGGATGGCCGAGACATAGTCCTTCAATACAACTGTAGCAAAGAAGCCCACATTAATGTTGCGAGAAATTTGGAAAATGTCTTCATCTTGCCTGAGCGTATGAAATTAGCCTAGGTACTACAAGTCATTGCATGTAAGGGGTAGATTTTACTCACCATTTCTGTCCCTCACTATCAAGTTCTTCCCAGGGCTTGTATTTGCCGTCTTCATTGACTTGGATCAAGGATTCCGCAATAAAGTTGTGGTGGCGCGAGAACATGATCAAGACGGCGACGACGGGCGGCGGCATCATCATGATTCTCTCCGACGCAATTGAGTCGGGGTATATGAAACCATTCTCATATGTACGCACCCGCTTTTGCTCCTTTTCCGTGTTTCCATACAGCGTGCTCAAGTCAACATAACTAGATGTCTCATTGATAAAGGGATCCTTGCGGCTTGTCTGGAAACACTCGTGGATAACGACTGTCGCAAATGCAAAGAACATGCGGTTCAGGCCTGATGGATGTTTGCGAAAGGGTCCCTCGCGCTTCAACAAGGCGTCATAGACGGCCTCGACGTCTGGGAGGTTGGGACCCTTGGACTTCATGGGCGGCACGTTGCGAGCATACGGCGAGCCCGCCTTGCCCATCTCTGGGAACCAGGGGTTGTTGCCGCCTCCATCGTGTCTCCGATATCTCGACGTTGGACCGGCCGATGTGAGAGCGGGATGGGGCAGATCTGCCCAGAGCATTGAGATGAATGCATCGGAAATGCCTTGACTCAAACCGCTGTTGGGTGGCATTCCCTGGAGCATGGCAACACCCTTTTCCAACAGCAAGTCCTTGTCATCCAGAGCCTCGCCAGAGGCGAGTGTCGGAAGGGCATGGGCAAGTGTGTGCTTGTCCTTGAAGCTGAGACCGGCAAGATCAGAAAAGACACCAGTCTTTTCACCGTTTACCGCTCCCGCAGCAGTGGCAGCTTGCTGGTCTGTACGTCCATCGGCTGCCTTGCTGGGACGCCTGTTGATGGTCCCAATGAGAGACTTTAGTCTTCCAGGCATGTTGTTGTGTATAGAAAGACGGCTGTTTAGACAGGTCACAGCTTTAGGAAGGATGATTTGGTAAGTATAAAAAAAAGGAGAGAGAAAGGAAAGTTTTCCGGGATACGACCTCGAAAGAAAACTATTTGTCACAGCTGCTCACCCTCCTCTTGCCTCCTTGCCTCGGTTACGTTGCACGATACTTGCCTAGAGTAGCACAAGATACTAGAGCTCACCAAATGAGGGAGAGATCCTCATGACATAGCTTGAAGCTTTGTCCACAAAGTGGTCCACCATGGTGCAAAACATGTTTTGTCTCTCATCTCGGCAGTGATCCAAGGGCGTCAAGCTGCGGTGACCAAGTGTACGACCGTAAGACCAATCGAGCCGTCCCGATTGGCCGTAAACTATATCGCGATAGCGTCGTCTTGCTTCTGCTTTTGGGCAGCTCCACAGCGGGCTCGGGACGGCGGGACGAGTGGAGATGAGTGAGCGCCAAACCGATTGAGTATGCCGATCTCTAGCTCAAGGGACCGGCCTCATTGGCTAGAGAGCGGCTGACTCCGCGCACCATCGAATGCAATACTCTTGCGACCCCATCGCGAACCAGCCAGTTGGGTATAGCCCTTGGACGCTAGACAATGCAGCAATGCAAATTCGATCGCAGCTGAGATGGGATCGTCACCGCTAAGACAGACAAGACCACTGGAGATCGATTCCTTTGGTGAAAAAATGCCGTGCGTAGACGATATACTATGATAGATATCCACTCAGACCTACGAGACCCAGAAGGGCGGCCTAGTACAGACAGGGTGGGAGCACAGAGGCATTTGACTTTCACCGCGCTTGAAGTCGACTCGCGTGGCTGGCTGATCGTCACTCTCCTTCCGCATATAACGTGTAACGTGAAGATGTAGGTGGGCGGGTGGGACGGCGTTAACCCAGTGCCTCCTAGTCGCAACCTGTTCGGCGACATCTATGATGCGTGCGACACTGGACATTAGAAGCTCTGTCATTGAGTCAAGCTGATTGGTTAATTGAAGAGTTCAGAGACATTGTGCAGGACTAAGCAATGTGATCGGCAACCTGGACAGGATTACGCCAAGGCGAGTCTCCAAGATTATCGAAAAAAGGTTGGAGGACCGCGAAAAAGGGTATCGATACTCTGCCGTGTTTGGACGACGATCAATTGGTTGCCCCTATCGTGGCGGCGGATTCCTCATCATTCTGCTCCTCGCTGGACTCGCATATCCCTCTCTTTCTTTGCCAATCCCACCATCTGTCTGGTTGAGCCTGTTTACATTTTCTTGTTACAAACAATTGCACCACTCGATATTGTCTGTGAAAATGGAGAGGAAAGTGAGTAGGACAGGTTCATACCCGATTCAGGATACTGCATTCATTCCCAGCACGACCTTTGAAGGCCCACTGCCCGATGGCGACCTCAAAAATCTCCGGCTCCCGCCGACGATGCGGGCCTTGAGAAAAGCGGAAGATACCAAGAACCATCCGCGAACTCTCGTCATTTGCCTCGACGGAACTGGCGATCAGTTTGACAATGACAATAGCAATATTGTCAACTTTGTCTCGTGCCTCAAGAAGCACTCGCCAGCGGAACAGGTCACGTATTACCAGTCCGGCATCGGCACCTATGACAAGGGCGGGTTGTCAAATGGCATCGGAGCAGCCATGGACATGGCCGTGGGTAGCGGATTGGGTAAGTGCCGTCGCCGCCAGGCGTACACACACTCACACACCAATGCTGCTTCCCGTAAGAAATACTCACACAATGTACTAGGCATTCATATAAAGGACGCGTACAAGTTCTTGATGCAGAACTATCACGATGGCGACAAGATTTGTCTGTTTGGCTTCTCCCGCGGCGCCTACACGGTGCGCTGCTTGGCCGGCATGTTGCACAAGGTTGGCCTGCTGCCTGCCAGCAACGGGTCCCAGCTCAACTTTGCCTACAACTTTTACAAGGACGACACGGAGGACGGCCGGAAGCTCGCTGCCGGGTTCAAGCGGACCTTTTGCACCCACGTCGAGGTTCACTTTGTCGGCGTGTGGGATTGCGTCGCGAGCGTGGGCTTCATCCCGCGCCGGCTGCCCTTTAGCAAGTCGCCGACCAATTCCATCCGGCACTTTCGACATGCCATGGCTCTGGATGAGCACCGTGCCAAGTTCAAGGTCTGTCAGTGGCAGCAGCAAAACCCGGATGCCGACAGCAAGCACCCCAAGCGCCGCGAGACTGTCGATTTTACGCCGGCCGGTCGCGTCAGACGGCGCTTTGGGTTGAAAAAGACGCCCGCAATGGCAACCACCAACGGAGTGGCCGCTAATGGCTACACAAATGGCTATACCAATGGACATACCAATGGTGCCACAAATGGCGACCTGGCGAGACCTAAAGTCAGTAAGGTGCTGTCAGATAGCCAGTCCAGCCTGGAACGCAAATTCCAGGAGCAGGACAAGGCGCATCACCGAAACCGGTTCTTTGAGACGGACGTGCTCGAGGTGTGGTTCAGTAAGCTCTCTCCCATTAGCATGAGTTTTCCGCCTTTGCAAGAGTTACCTTGAGCTTCATTCATACAGCTGTGGAAAAAAAACAATTGCTAACACATCTGTCAACTGTAGTGGGCTGCCACGCCGACGTGGGCGGCGGCGCCGTGGCCAACGAGACGCGGCACATGCTGTCGCGGATCCCGCTGCGGTGGATGATGCGGCAGTGTTTTGACTGCAACACGGGCATCCTGTTTGACACGGCGCGGCTGGCCGAGTTTGGCCTCGACGTGCACACGCTGTGGCCCAAGTACCAGCAGCCGGTGCGGCCCATTGCCGGCCCGCCGCCGCGGCTCGTGGAAAAGTACGAAAAGAAGACGCTGGCGCCCCTGTACCGCCGCTCCGTCTTTTTGCCCATCGGCTCCCAGGACGACCGCATCGAGAACGCCCCCTCGGCCGAGAAGCTCAACTACATTCTGCCCTCCGAGTCGGACGAGGATTACTTTGACGGTCTGGAAAGGTGCAATGACATGCTCCGGATTGCCCGCGTCTGGTGGATTCTCGAGCTGTGGCCCATCAAGCTGCGCATCTTGACCAAGGAGGGCGACGGATGGGAGAAGCACGTGCGCATGAATCTTGGGAGACATCGCGGTGTCCGATGCAGTGAGCCCAAAATGCACTGGACTGTTCAGCACGCCATTGCTGAAGGGAGGTACAATCTAAAGGCCAAGTGTGAAAAGGGTGTGTGTTGGACAGAGACTTATTAAAACCATGTTGTTTTTGTTTTGTTTTTCGTATGAAGTAACGACACTAATAAGCATTCAATCATTCTTGTAATCATCACAGCATTTGTGCTTCATCTTTTTTCACCAAACATCCGTGATGAAAAAAAAAAAAAAAAAAAAAAAAAGACCCCGCAGTGATTAAACAGCCCGTACCTTGGTGCTAAAGTGATGTCATTTCCCTGCCCACGCCAATACCTGTCTACCTGGCATGGTGCCAATTGAAATCCTAGTCTGTCGTGTAAGTCCTGGTCTACTCACATTCATCATGCCCGCATCCTCAATCACAATTCATCGCAGTTGAGAATCTCTTCAGAAACAAGAGAGAATAGCTTCTGAGCAAGACACGTCTGGGTTAACATTAAAGAAAATTTCGGATTAAAGCAATTGTTGACGCCGCGTCGCAAATGTGCCTCGGCAACTTCATCCGGAGGCCTATTACGACTCTGCCGCTCCGCAAGACAACCGTAAGACATTTCCAATCCGTCCCTTGCATTTAGCGGACGGGCTGAGATATCCTAAGTCTCAATTTAAGATCCCATAACTTAAAAAAGATCATTTTCATTGCTTAGTCACTCACTTGACCATTGAACTGAAGCAAGGTTTCATTCACAATTGTAGTGTAAAGCTTGATGACGTTCTTTATCATTATGTATTATTAAGAGTGTCTCTGTCTCTGCATTGCTAGGTAGCTAGGTATAGTTTCGTTCCGCATTAATCAGGCATTACTCATTTCTTCCGCGTTCAAGCATACTTCACATCACCTTGCGGGTGCACACCGCCATGCGCAGAAGGGTCTCCATGGCCAACTCCCTCAGTGCCAGCAAGATCGCCGGGAGTTGGTCCCTTACCAACCTCCTCGACGACCTTCTCATCGGCCCGGCCGCCCTCGGCGCTCTTCAGCACCTCCATGAGCTGCCGAGCACCAAGAGGCCATGGCACGATCTCGCCCTTGCCGCCGTCACTAACTAGGCCCTGGTGAGGCTTCACGTCACCGCGCAGCACGCGCTCAGGCGTGATACCCTTCTCCGCATAGAAGGCTGCATTGGCGTCGGGACGCTGCACAATGACTGTTCCATCGGCCTGAATACCAGCGTAGAATCCGCGAGACTTCATGTATGACCATACTGGCTTGCCAGCACCAATAGCTGCGTCGACAGATGTACCAGCGCCCACGGGGCCAGCCACAACTGTGATCTCGCCTCCAAGACTGAAACGTGGCTTTGTGAAGGCCTTGACAGCCTCCTCGGTATTGAGTACACAGACGCAATCATAGATGTCAAGGCCAACCATGAAGCCGGCGCCCAGAGTGTGGACTAGGAAACCTGATGGCGGGGACCAAGATCCGTCGGGCAAGCGCGACATGACGATACCAGAGCCCGAGGCACCAGAAATGTGCAGACCAGTACGGAAGACTGTGAAGATGGCAATACCCTTGGCCTGTGCTATGGCCTTGGAAGGCACCTTGACCAAAGTCTTGGCCTTGGGGTTCGGTGTGGGACCCGGGTTCGTTGCGTGGCCGGGCGATGGTGGCGGTTGAGTCGACTCGGTGTAGAATCCATCCTCTATTATATAGTTAGCACTTGAAGACCACGGAGATCATTGGAATAATGGAGTCAACTTACTGCAGAAAGACTTTAGAATGCGAGCGGCCTTGTCACATTCCTTGTCCATGCTCGTCGGCCAGAAAGCTTCCGCGCCTAGCTTGTTGGTAATCTTGTTGACGGGCACACCAGCCTTAACACTCCAGTCGTAGAAACGCTCGCCAAAGGTTTTCTTCTTCTTGGCATCGGGGTTCTGCTGACTCTGCGATGCAGCCCCGATAGCAGCACCAGTTGCACCCGCTGCCACGACTGCAGGGCCTACAGAGCCATGGGATTCGGTTGTCGTGGGAGCAGCGGCCTGCTGCTGCTGCTGCTGCTGCTGCGGCGACGGCGGCGCCTCAGTAGCTCCGGGCGGAGGAGGGAAGTAGGGTGCTGCTTGCCCTTGGCTGGACCCGGGTCGCGAGGTCGGGCGCGGAGGCAGCACTGGGGGCTTCTCATCTCCGTGAACATCCAACCCTGGCGTGGGCTCGTAGCTCGGCGGTGGCTGTTGTGAATAGTCGGCGGGATTCGACTGGAGAGGGTGGTATGCTTGGTAGCCTTGGTTCTGGCTCTGGCTCGGCGGGGGCCCCGGTGGCGGGGGAGGGTAGTAGTCTTGTTGGCCAGAAGACGCAGGAGGATGTACCATCTCTTGATACTGAGGAGGGTTCTGCTCTGATGCTGCTTGGCTGCTGCCCGAGGGACCGGCTACGCTGGCCGTCTCAGCATAGTAGTCCGGGTTCTGGCCGTGAGCATGTTGGTTATTCGAGGGTGCGCTCATTGCTGTTGTTGAAGATGTGCTCGAGAAGAGAGCAAAGGGAGGAGAGAAAGTTGATGGGATGTTCTACTTTCTGTGAAGACGAAATCAAGTATGGCGGGTAACAGCAAGTCGAGTCTGATGCGATCGCTGTTGGTGGTGATGATGAAGAGGTATTGTGGATGAATGGTTCGAAATGAATCAGGAACAGGTCGTTAATATAGCTTCCGAGC